CCTGGGGTCGGTGAAACAATGACCGCCGGCGGCCCAGGAGCGTGCCCTGTGCTGCTGGCAGCAGTAAGCAGCGGCCCCGGAGCTTGCCCCATCTTGACCCGGGTGCTTGCCTTGCGCTGCCAGGCTAGACGCGCGGCTTCAAGAGCACGGCCCTGCTTGTGCTGTCCTTGAGTCGCCCACCCCCTACCCCCCCTGTCCACCGTGTGAACACGAAACCCAGTCCCCCAGCGACGTGGCCCTGGCCTACTCCCACATTCTGGAGGTTCTGCCAACGTTCACGCCGCAGCAGCTGGAAAAGCTGTGCACCTCCAGGTGCGTCGTGTCATTTGCATGGGCGTCGTGCGGCGGCCGCGCAGCCAAAGGCGTTACCGGGGGCCCTTTGCGGGGGGTCCCAAAGCGGCGCTGCTCTGCGCCTTGCGCCAGCTTGGACGCTTCGCCTGCCTGCCCCGCCCGAGACCGCCACCACCAAGTAAGGCGCACCACTTGACCCCAGTAACCCCCCCCCCCACTCCCCTGGATCCCCCAACCAAAACGCCCGACCGGCTCCCGACCCCTTGCACTCCATTGCAAAACTCCAAGGGGCGAGTTCACAAAGCCGCAGACGGCAGAGCTCGCGGCGGCCGCAAAGGAGGTCTATGCGCAGCGCGCCGGCGCCAGGAGCCGCGCAGCCACAGGCGTTGCCGCGGGCGCCGCAGCTTTGCCGCAGGACGGCGGCAAGGGCGGCTGGCGATTTTGGAAGAAGTGAGACGGCCCGCGCACGCGCGCAGGCTGTGCCGTATTGTGGCGCGTCGTCGGAGCTTTTCCGCCTCTTACACTGCCACTGTAAAGGATGTCGATTCAAACAGCATCCAGATAGCACCATCAGACGTGGTGTGTGGGCCAAGCGATGGCACCGCACATCGTCAGCTCAGCCAAAGGCTCGCGGTTGTGAGCCAGCCCCGCGCGCCGTGCAGCAGCACGTACACATGGCGGCGTTCGCGCCACCCAGGCGCCGACAGGGGCCCGCGGCGCGCATGCAGGGAGCGGGAGCGGGTGTGGGGAGGGCCGACGGTTCTCTGCAGGAGTTGAGTGGGGAGGGCGGGCGAGGCGCGCCAGTGCTCCTGCGGGGCGTGCAGGCGAGGCGGCGCACCGATGTGCCCCAGCTGGCGTGCCGAGCAGGCGGCCTGTGGACCGGTCATCTTTCCCCAGTGCATTCCTCTCCTCACTCCCTGATTTGCTCCATGCACAAACACCAACTTACTCGTGCCTGCACACATATTCAGCTTGAAGTCATGTTCAGGTTCCTAAATAATACAGTGTCCATCAACAACGCAACATCAAACAAGGACAGTCACCACTGCATCATCTCCAACAGATTCGCACTCTTAGGTACCAAGACATGCACTGCCTTGCGCGCCTTGGGGGTGCCCCTCAGCGCCACCCCAGCATGCCCAGCCTCCGCATCATCTTGGTGGGTCGCGGCTGCCGCGCCTCCCCCGTCACATCAGCCGCCGGCGCAGCGATAGCCGTTGCGGCCCAGCCGTCCCCCCGGGCGCCCCCGCAGGCGGCATGGCGTGCGTGCATGTTGAGGAGCCAGTTGAAGGCCTCCAAAATGAAGGCGGAGTTTGGGTGGAAGTTGTCCTGGGGGGGGGGCGATGTTGCATCAGCATGGGTCAGCTCGCCAGGCGTGGGCAGATTGCTGGTTTGGTGGCAGCCCCAAGTGACGCGGAAGCTTTGCCTGTACCAGCAAGTGCACAGCTTAGTGACCGCGACAGCAGGCAAATCATGCCGTGCGTGTCCACACAATAATGTTATGCTTGCGTCAGGGAGGCAGTCTGGGGACAAAAATCAAGCTCTCATCGGGCCGGGGACCTCTGCACATGGTATGCGCCCCACTGCACCGGCCGCACCTTGAGGTACACGTCAAAGCCCAGAGATGATGACATCAGCTCGAGGTCCAGTAGGTCCAGGCCGCGGTTGGCTGCCAGCTGGCGCAGCGCGGCGCCCATGGCGGAGTGCCACGCCTGGCGATTCAAGGGGCGGGCCGAGCGGCGCCAGAGGCATTGTATACATGCGCGCGCGTGTCCCTTTGGGGTGCCTCGATTTTTTGGTCTGAACTTTCAAACAGGAAGTGGTGAGCTGGTCGAAGGGTGTGTGCGCCACAGATCTGGGCCAAGACAGCAGCGGCCTGCACGCACGGGAGACTCCACAGCAATTGCGTGTCCCCAGGCGCAACACAGGGCGGCGGGGGCAGCAGCTCGCGGGCGCCCACCTGGTAGCCGACTTGCGACGATGCGGCGGCGCCGTGCTGGTTGTGCTTTACGCGGGCCGTGGTGCGCATGGCGATGTAGGACCGGGGGAACAGCTCCCGCGCCAGGTCGATCATGCTCTGCGGATCGTGATGCAACATTCGAATCGAGAATTTGAGGACACCCATGCGCACGCGCCGCCGCTCACTTCGCAGCAACGGTACGAATTCCTGATTCCGCTCTCTCAAACTCTCCCTGAATTTGCAACCCACTTGCACGCGGCAGGCGCACGTTCTCCCCCGCCTCATGCAGCCGCGATCAAGCACGCGGCTGCGCACCGTGACGTTCGCCGCGAAGCCCCGGACCCAGTCCGGCGGCAGCAGCGCCGGGTGCGTGCCGTTGCCGCCGTGGACCTTCATCACCTCGCGCGCCCCGTCCCACAGACCCGTGCCCAGTACGACGACCGCCGGCTCAGAAACGAGCGCCTCCCTAGCGCGCCGCATGTGCCACTGCAGGTTGCCGGCGCGGTTCTCGTGGTAGGGGCCGTCCAGGTGCACCCCAAAGTGCCACGCGTGGAAGACCCGCACGCCCGCGCCCTCGACGCTGCACTGCGCGAGCCCCGCGCGCGCGAGGTGCATCTGCTCCCAGCTGGTGCGGTTGGAGGGCGCGGAGGGGCGCAGCGCCTGGGCCCAGTCGCAGAAGCGCTCCAGGAAGAGGGCGTCGACGCTGCTGCCGAAGAAGAAGACGTCGAGCGGCTTCGACGGCTGCTGCTGCTGCTGCTGCTGCTGCTGCTGCTGCTGCAATGGAGGTGGTGCCTGCAGGAGCTGCGGCGGCGTCGCTGGCACGGCGTCGCCGCGCGCCAGGCCCTCTATCAGGTTTGACATTGGGCAAGCACCAGCCACAGGCACAGAGACCCAGCCGCTGCCTGTCCTGTCGCCGGCGCGCACCCACATGCCGTTTGCGTATGAGCAGCTGCAGTAGTCATCGCTGGCGCTCGGTTGGTGCTGCCGCGCATCGCTGCTGGGCGCTTCGTCCCCACCAGCAGCGGCGCGCCCAAAAAGAACCAAAGCTATGATAAGATACATTGTAAATGGCGCATCACCATGCCTTCCAGTGCGTGGCTGCAGCTACTTGTCGATGGGCGGGTGCCGCGTTCGCCGGATCACACGGCAGTAGACTGTTCGCGTCACGACGCACGCAACTTAAATATTCAAGCACAATAAACAACTTTTTGAGCACCAGCTAAGGCGAGGAGGCCTGTGCCTGCACCACTGCAGCATTGCAGCAGCTGGCTGTCATGCTGTGCAACGGGGAGGTGAATCCCCATTAGGAAAAGGTCTCGAGTCGGTCCCTTGAAGGGCATTTAAGGCTGTGACCACCAGTCCCCACAGCCACCTGCCGGGCAGCTACCCCACCTCCAGTGTGGTAGGTCCTGGCAGGCTCCCACTTATATGGCCCCAGGGCTTCGCCCAGGGCCCTCCAGGCTCCAGCCGTTACATGCTGAGCTCCATCCATCCATGTTGCTGGCCGCGCTGACGCATGCACCAGCCTCGACATACTGGTTGATTACACAGAGGAAAAAAGCTTGGAGTGCATGGATTTCGACACCTGTGGGCAGATACCCGTCCCAGTAAGCGCACTGATCACCCAACAGCTGCAGGTGCAGCACAGACACACCATCGGGGTACAAATGAATGCAAGCGGTCATATGATGTGCCAGGCAGTTCGCACTGCCCGCATATCAGCATCAGGGTTGCGCACCGCGCACGCACAGTGCACGAGCACAGATCAAACCTTCAAACACAGGGTCGTGCGCAATCAAATCAGTGGTTCGACAGCTGGATCGGCGTCCAGCAGTTACGAAAGGCATATACACGAAACCTGCAAAGCCAATGATAATTGCAATGCCGGAAACCCTTCAAAAAATCTGCGCACCCAGCACCGCTCCTCGTCCTACCCCGCTGCCATCATCCCGCCCGCACCGCCTCCGCCGCGCCCCCCGCCCC